GGAATGCTGTCAGGTAAAATGCCCGCATGTTCCGTGATACTAGCATTTAGTGACTGTTATCCACTAAAGTTTTACAAATGCTGCTGTAAACCTTAAAACCTCATGCAGAAAAAAACATTTTAAGCATCATGGAAGCATAACCAACTTACAGGCTCATATTTGAAATGTAAACTTACATTTTATTTCACAAGGTTTACATTCCAAACTGAAGCAGGAAAATGAAGAAATAAGATTTTTAGGAAAGAGAAAAGCAATGCAGGAAGTTGGATCCCACTGCTCTGAGCTAAGCAAGCTGAGGCTGAATGATGAGAATCACAAACCCGATACCTGACAAACATTACAATTAGTTACAAATAAAATACATGGCACAACTGCTTAAAGTGACACCTACAGTACCCAAAATACTGGCACAAACAGCTGAAAGCTGATAATATTTTAACTATAGATTCAGGAGGAAGAGAAAAGACTCTCAAAGGGAGATGCAAAAAATACAACAAGAATAAAACTGCCTAACAGTGGGTATGATCTCGGTGTTAATTTCCAGAAACGGAAATAAAGCATGAAGCTGGAAGAGTACATGGTAATGTCGCAGCCTCACAGTGCTTGTCGCTGCCAAGCTGCCGCTGCTTTTAATGGTAAAAGCCACTCTGCCAGGCAAAGGCTTTCACGGATGGTTTCAGAATGAGTTTATTTTTGCAAGTGTTCTGTAACAAAACAGAAGCTGATAGCACTGGAAAAATATCAATAAGATCAAGGTTATTTTCAAGTACTATGGATCAGTTTCAAAAATTTCTACCACAGGAGTCACCAAAATGAAAATGTGACCCTTTAATTAATTCTGGCTTAATACACAAGGTCAGCAGCACCTCCTGAGCCTGCTAACTCAACGCTTTTGTGAGTGAGCCAGCTACGCACACAGTAAATCTGTTGTGCTGGCGTAACGACGACGCAGGAGGCAGCGGGTCCCTGAGCACACCTTAGCGTGTCGTTCTTTATATCTAACTTCCAGGAAGGTAATTTTTTTTTTCCCCCTGACACTTTACATTCATATTGTTACAGACTTTACACATTGGGTTTGGTAACTAATCCTAAGTTGTGCTTTCAGTCCACACCAGCAATCGAGAAGTAAAAAACTCCAGCTAGTGTAGATTTTGCTGAATCCCATTTCTGGTTTGTTCCAGGAAGTAAACATTCATTGCTAGGAAGGAAGGTTCTGCTTCTTATCAACGACAGTACACCACGTGCACTAGGTACAGCCTACTAAAAACGTACAGTACTGCTTCCTGTTTCTACTCCAAAAACACACTGTATCACCTCAGTGAGAGACAAAACACGGTCGCAGTGCCGTGAGGCTGGCGGCAGTCCTGCTTCCCTGGACAAGACTCACTGGCCAAGGAGAGGACTGACCACAATACTATCCATAGAAACATCAATATGATGTTTTCTCCTTTTTTTTTTTTTTTTTTTTTTTTTTTGAGTACAAGGTACCTGAATGTAAACAGGAGAGAAGGGGGGAGAGGCAAGGAGGTGGTTGTTAGTGGTCAGTTATTTTGGAACATTAATCTAGGAGAAGAGGGGTGAGACAGTGGCAGGTATCACAGTAAAATCCAGCAAGAGCCTTTGTTTGACATCTACTTGGAAAAGTTGCTTATAGCAGACAAGCCCTCACTCACACGAGGGACGCAAAATGCATTTGTAAAATGCTGAAACACAAACAACAAAGGGGCCAGGCAGAACGTGCTGTATCTGGGTTGAACTCTAGCGCGTCTATGCCCTGATTTAAGCAAACAAAACCATGGCTGTGTTCAACACTTCAGAGGCGCTCCTGGCATCACCAGAACCAAATCCAGACAGGGTACAAGAACCTGCTCAGAAAATGCCTGTAAATCCTCACAGCTTCAGACACAGCTCAGACACTCCTAGCTTAAAAATACACCTCAGCTGACAGAATGAGACAGAAAGTCACCAAATCCTCCTCCTGTTTTTCTATACAAGGAATTCAGAGGTTCAAAAGGCACAAACAGCACCTCTGTTGGGGACAGATCCTGTACGTTTCCTGTTGTGCCTGGCTGCCATCTTCCTCTCCAGATCCCCTCCAGAACACATTGTGCCAGAAATGAGGTGATGAATTCTGCCGCTGGCTTTCATCACCCACAGCTGAAGGTCACCACGAGATTTCCATCAGAAATGCAGCTTCAGTTTGACAGGAAAAACAGTTGCAGCACTCAACAGGCGTTTAACGACAGAAGCACCCAGCGGACGTGGTTAAAGCAGGAACACGCAGAGCGTTCAGTCCCCCTCTGAGGAGGAGACAAACTACACAGCCTGGGAAGGGAAGGCTCACCCGGGCTCCTAACAACTGAACCCCAGCAGCAAGACATTCCGTGAGGTCGCTGCCTGCTCTACACCAAACTACAGAGGCTGACGTAGAAAATATCTGTCCGCAGGGCACAGTTTATACCAGGTACTTAACATCTACTCTTATGGACAGAAA